CCCATGTGTAAAAGAAAAACATTGTAAATACACACCATGTACACTGGAATATGTGTATGTGTAACTGTACACACATGCACACATAAATGCAAAAATACTGCATAGGTTTGGAAATAGAAACTGCAAACCTCACAGTTGTTATCTGAAACAGGGATGGTCTCAGGTTATGAAAAAAGGAAAGGAGAAAAAAAGCAAAGGGTGTTTGAAACTTTTAATCTCTCGATCACATTTTATTTGAATTTTTTTTTTTTTTTTTTGGTACTGAGGATCGAACTCGGGTCCTTGTGCTTGCGCAGCAGGCGTCAAAACCACTGAGCTAAATCCCTGGCCAATTTGAATTTTTGTATTTCACATGTATCATGTCTGACAATTAAAATATATAAATAAAAAGCAGAGCCTAAATATTCTTTTCTTATAGCTCTTCTATTTGTTATAGCAAAAGCTAATTCTTGTATTCATTCACTGCTCATTCATTTATTCAACAAACATGCAGGGTACAATTTCTATGTTTGACTATTGAGCTAAGTACTCACAAAACGAACATGTGGCAGTCACCAAGTACTTGTAGATTACAACAGTTGCTTCTTTCTATAAAATACAGTGTTAAGTAAAATTCTAAATTTTATCACATATTTTAGATCATGCCATCTCTGGAATTCCAGATTTTCTACAACTTACACTACTTTTTTCCTACAAAATAGATAATTTTTCTTTTTTTAATTAAAAATGCATTTGTATTCATTCACTCAACAAGGGTTAGAATCCTTCCTATGCATCCGGCACTATGCAGGACAATGCATAAGCCAAGGTGGAGAAATAACATATGGTCCCTGCCTAGTTTCCAAGGAGTTGAGAGTTTTGCACACGTTATGTCTCAGAGCAGTACATAAAAATCCTGCACTTCAAAGCAAAACTGGCAGACTGCCCACATCAAAAATAAAAGTTAATCTCAATTTAACACAGAAGAAGCTTAATGTTTACATAAAACGTGAAAATGTTTAATTATATCACCGTTAGAAGGAATAAATTAGTGGAAAGACAGACCATGGGAACTGCAGAAAAATGGAATGAGTTTTAGTGAAAAGGGGATCTAAGATCAGTTACGCCATGAGGAAGCTGTTAGTAGGTTTAATCACTATTTTCCTACTGGAAATACAGCAATCAGACCTATCCTAGAGAACCAATAATTCATTTGAAATTTTAAAAAATCTGGTGAGTTTAAGGCAATATGGCCCACAACACCTGCTTCTTTTTGTTCAGTTGACTTTTTCAAATTTATTTTCCCCCAACTTTGTCACTGATTAGCCAAGCAAATTCCCAAACACAATGTAACTTCTGTATGCTTCACCAAGTAGAAAGAATGCAGGAAGTAGAGTGAGACAACCTGAGTTTATATTCAGGTCCTGCCTCTAAGGTTAAAAAACAAGCAAATTCCTGAATGCCTTTGCATCTTAGTTTCCTAGCAGGAAAGCAGGTATAACCCATCTTATAAGACTATTTTAAAGATTAAATAAGAAAATATATGTAAAAAACCAAAGACTGAGGAACTATTATAAAAAGTCTCAAGCCAGGCATGGTGGTGCATGCCTTATCATCCCAGCACGCAGGAGGCTGAGGCAGGAGAATTGCCAGGAGTTCAAGGCCAGCCTGAACTACAAAGTGAGACCCTGTCTCAAAAACCAAAAAAAACCCAAAAAGTCTTCAAAGATATTCAAATGACCAATAAAAATATGAAAATATGAAATATAAATGAAAACCACAATGAGACACCACTTGACAGCAGTAGGATGGCAGTCTCAAAAAGAAACATTCAGAAGTGCCAGCAAGGATACAGAGAAAATGGAACCCTCACAGTGCTGGTAGCAATGCAGAAGCTATGGAGAAGTTTAGTAGTTCTTCAAAAAGTTCAGTCGGGTCAGCATGCATGACTCAGCAATAAACTTAAGAGAAATGAAATCATGTCCACACAAAAACTTGTTAATGATTCTCCACACCAGCATTATTCATAATAGCCAAATACCCAGGAACTGATAAATGGATAAACAAAACATGGCATATTCATACAATGGAATATTTATTACCTTGCCATAAAAATGCGTGAAGTGTAGACACATGCTGTAATATAAACTCTGAAAAGATGCTAAGTGGAAGACACAATGGGCCACATACAGGACAGCTAAATCCGCAGAGACAAAAAGATTAGTGGTTGCAATGCACAGGGGAGTGTGCTGGGGAGTTTGAGGCCAGCCTGGGCGACATGGGCAGCCTCAACTGGAGTGAAACCCTATGTCAAATCCCTCCCCCAAAAAGTATAAGGGAGGCGGAAATGGCAATCAAAGTAGGAGATTAGGGTTTCTTTTTAGAGAGACAAGGTACTTGAATTGGTGCACTTTTGCACAATCTTGTGAAGACACTAAGATACTGAATTACACACTTTTAAAAAGTAAATTTTTTTTTTGGTATGGAGATTGAACTCAGTACCTTGCACTTTCGAGGCAGGCGGCAGAACCACTGAGCTAAATCCCCAGCCCTAAAAAGTAAATTTTGTGAGGGGAAGGGGAAAGGAAAGAAGGGAAAGGAAAAATTATGAGAAAAGGAAAAAAATGGAAAGCAAGTCTTTGTACATAGGAAAAGGTGGAGGGGGTGAAGGGAGAACAGGGAATGGGGAAAAAATAAGAAACAAGATACATCGTGTACAGGTACAAGTACCCAATGAAACATGTAAATGTATTGTACACCTAAAATGTACCAACAAAAGAATTTAAAGGTGGGCCAGGGATTTAGCTCAGTGGTTTTGGCACCTGCCTTGCAAGAACTAGGTCCGGAGTTCGATCCCCGGTACCAAAAAAAAAAGAATTTAAGGGAAAAAAAAAGTAAATTTTGTAACATAAAATGTATCTAGGGGCCAGGGATTTAGCTCAGTGGTTTCACCGCCTGCTGTGCAAGAGCAAGGACCCGAGTTCGATTCCCGGTACCTAAAAAAAAAAGTATCTAAAACAACTCTTACAGAAATTCAAATTTCTGCTACTTCTCATTAGTAAATATGCTGTTTTTCTCCAGAGGTTCCTGTTAGTTGTGACAGCAATAAAAGCTCTCTGAAGTTAGACATTACACTATAAATGGAATTTTCAGGAAAAACTGAGGCCAATGAAACTTTCTAAAAATCGGATTAATCTGATATAATTTAATTTGTTCTCAAAACATGTCCATTTTAGTATCGAGTTTGTTTTTACAAAGTGGAAAAAGCTTCCAAGGAGTGGAAAAAGCTTCAAGAATACTTTTTTTTTTAAGTCCAAAAAGTGTTATTTTTAAATTAGTGGATACTTAGTTTTCATATATGCTAAAAAAGACTGCTAGTTTAAAATGCTGTTAAAATGACCATCAATGAACTAAAACTCGAGGACCGTAATGCAGATGGAACTTTTCAACCTATATTTGCCATTTTCTATGTTCTCCATCCCGCTAACAGATTTTCAGCCCATTCCTAGACTTTGAATCTCTTCCATGGATTATTTCTTACAATTATTAGTCACACGAGCTGTAATTCTTGATAAATTCTTTAAATGTGATCAATTCATTTTTTTCCCTGTTTGTCAACTCAGTGAGTAGGCCTAATTTTTAAGATTAAATTTAGTTCAGAAAGGCTGCATAAATATTCTAGCAAAACGATTTCCTGCAATTTGGGATATAAAAACAATCAATAGAGCTGTGTAATGTTTTCTAGCTCCTCTGGGAACTTTTTCATGTATTTAGTCACGGGGTAAAGACAGTCACCAACTTCTGTCCTCAAAGAGTATTATGTATAAAGGCTTCCTGGTTCTAGAACAAAGAAGTATTTTATTGCTCAAAGCAAAAGGAAAATATTTTCCTTCTATTTAGTATTGTTATACCAAAATAGCATACCAATGAAACCATCCAGGTACTGGCATGACCCAAGGTAGGTAAACAAAGACAAATTACTGTGTGTTCTTCCTTGAGGGAGAGGGATTTCTCCCACTAAGAAAGTAAGATTTATTAAACCAAACTGTATGGATTCAGATTTTCCGACATGGGAGTGTGTTGAGTGGCAATTTTAATCTGAAGGCTTGCCGAGCTGCAGCGGCGGCGGGCTGCACGGTGGCTGTGCTCCACACAGACAAAACGTGAGGAGGGATGACCTGTCAAACAGCTGCGGTCTCCTTGCTCCCTCAACAGCTTGGCAACTTCTCCGGGCGAGGTCTGCGGATGAGAGCCTGTCAAAGCGCCTCGCGGACGGCCACGGGGCCACCACAGCGGCCGCAGGTCCAAACCCTGCATCCCGGGGAAGCCACCCCGCCCTCGAGAGCGGGTCAGACTGCGGCTCCTCTCCAGCGCGTCCGCCTAAAACGCACAGGGCCAGGGCCACGGCCACGACTGAGCGCCCGGCCGCCGGCTCTCCCCGTCCTTTGTGGGCCCTCCAAAGGTGGCCCACGCCGTGCTGGGGCGACACGGGGCCTCGGGCCGGGTCCCCCGCCCGCCCACCCGCCGACAGGGCCGGGCACCGGTCACACAAAGAAGCCCGCGCGGGCGCTGGACACGGGGACCCGCCCCGCAGCCGGGCGACGGCTCTGGGCGCTGCACGCGAGGGACGGGCGCCCGGGGAGGAGGCTGCACGCCCCGACCTGTTGCACGACTCGGTCCCTTTCACCCCGACGTGCACTAGGGCGCCGGGGCCAGAGCGCGGCCAGGTCCGCGGGCAGGGCCGCATCCGGCGGCGGCGAGGACGCACGGCGCCCGCAGGCTCCCACCTCGGGTCACGCTTTGTCTGCAACTGCGGCGGCGGCGGGGACCGAGGCGGGGGCG